AAAAAAACAAAGTACGTAAAATCTTTACTAAAATAAAAAAGTTTTATTTATTATCTAATTGTATGGAAATCTGTTCTGATTTTATGGTACGTACTACAAATTATGCATCCGTGTTCAGGAGCTACTTAACGGGCAAGCTCTGTGAAAATGACTCATTTAGTGCTTCTGTCCCGTGCATACGGTCACTGACGGAGCTACATGGGGTTCAGGGGGTCCCTGGGCCCCCCCTCATATTCTAAAAAAAAACAGTATATATATATATATATAAATACTATAAAATAAATATATTAATAATTAAAATTCTTTAAAAAACAATATATATATAAAATAGCATAAAATATGTATCGAAATGTAAAATTTTTTTGTACAATATATTACTAATTAAAACTTATTTCATATGCTATTTTCATTTAAATTAATAATATTATTTATTTATTGAAAAATATGCTAACAACCCATATATTTTAAATTTTAGATAAGCTTTCGAAAATATTTATAATGATTTACTCTTTTGGTCTCTTAATTTTAAATCGACTTAGGAATATATAAAATTGATTATTTATTAGTTGGATTGTTACATTTTTTAATATTGGTATTTTACTCTTTTTTTTTGTGTGTAATCACATATTTTAACATCACTTATTTTTTCTTAAAAATATGTACATTTGATAAGCTTTCATGAAAAAAAAATGCTATGGAATGTTGTGTAAAAGTTCAATTTGAATCAAATTTTCAACAAGAAAACATATATTTCCATAAATTATATATGTTGAACTAAATTATAAATACATAAAGTAATAATTTGAAGGTGTAGAGCTTCTTTTTATGGTACACGTGCCAATATTTATATTATTTATTGTAAATATATTTTTATATGAAATGAGTGTCTACTTAAACTACATGCTCGTTATTTAACATTTAAAATTGGGCCCCCCTCGTTAAAATTTCTAGATCCGTCACTGCATACGGTATGTATTTTTATTACACATACTAGAAAATTGTGCACCCCGCGCATCGCACGGGCTCTGTACTAATAAATGACCTTAAAATTGTGCACCCCGTGCATCACCCGTGTTCACATTTTGGCCTATTACAGGTCACGTAATATATATATCCCGTATATTTTTTTTATTCATTTATATAATTATAAGAATAAATAAATGACCTTAAAATTGTGCACCTCGTGCATCGCACAAGCTCTGTACTAGTAAGATATAATGTATGGTTTTTTTTCCTTTCATTTATTCGTAGGATAATTGTACTCTGCCCATATAAAGTTTTTAACCATCACCATGGAATCAAATGGATGCATATGAATGTGCAATCCAAGGAATGAAAATTGGGTTGGGCCATAATGGACTTTCCCCTTATAAGCAGCCAGATCCGATTTCTACGCACAAGACAATAATTCAAATTCCCATGTATTTTTTTCAAGTATGCCTTCAAGATGTTGACTTCATGTTTTCCTTTCAATAAAATCTCACGTGAAAATGGTTTTCATCAACATGACATTATCATTGTTTTCATTTTTTATTTTTTTGGCATGAATTAATTTGTCAATATCATTTATTTTCGTTTAATTTGTCAAAAAACTTACCTGAATAAAATGGCTACCAAACTTGGCCAAATCCTCCTAATCAAAATCATGATATTACAAATGATTGTTATAAACCATTAATGAACCACAATTAATTACAAAATCTGGATACTCTCTCTAAACCACCGATTATATAGCAGCAACGGTTTTGCTATAAAGCCAACAGTTAGTTCTATAGTGGAGCCAACTTTTTATATACAGCAAGTAAACTTGAAGGTAACGGTTGGCTTCACAGCAAAACCAAAATATTGTTTCCAAAGATCGTAGTCATTTTTCATCACCTTCAGTTATACAAGTGTGTGTGTGTGTGTGTGTGTGTGTGTGTGTGTGTGTGTTTATTCAATAGTAAAGAAATTGATTGATGCTTTTATGGAAGGACACGAATTTTCAACTAAATAGAAAATAAAATCAAAAAACAAGGAAAATGTGGAAAGTGACTTGGAGTATCACTTGTGAATTGTCCAACATTGATTCTATAGGGAAAGTGAGCCTAGTATATAAGCCAAACAGGCTACTCTTCTCATCACCAATTGGTTTTGGAATGAAATCTCACTATAGTGCATCTAGGCTCACCCTTTTATGGTGCGCTTAATATGCGTGAGACTGCGCCCTGTTACCCGATTATCATATATTTCAAAGTGAAAAGAACCTGACACGACTTTTGCAGATACATAAGCCTAAAATTTAGCTTAAAAATTGACAAGCTATGGTACTAGGGATTGATGGAGTAGTTAAGACTGGTCAGACCTTGAAGTTGCATGCATTCAGATATCAGTCAATTTTTCTCATTAAATTCACGCTTTTTATTTACAAATAAATAATAAAGCCACCACCAATTTTTTTCACAATTTTATATAGTACCTTTGTTTTCTTCTTTTAATATTACTTTAAAAAAATGTATTAATCAGGTTTATTTTCATTTTATTTTATTTTATTTTCTTAGCAAAGAATTTGATATTACCTTTTACCTAACTCACATATACATATTCATACTTTGATCCAACAATTAAAAAATCAAGAATTAATAGATATTATGACATATGTTGCATGATGAAGTATTATCACAACTCTAATTTTTGCTTTCAATTTTACATAAATTTTGATTATTAGATAAAGTTGATTAAATAGAAATGTCAATTTCATTTTGAGACTGTGAATAAATATGAATAGTGAATTTTATTGGAAACGGAGTGGTAATAATTAACTAATATTATCTAAATTATATTGAAAACATTGAAGAAAAAAATGATTGGATTAGATTAGTAATAAATTTTGAGGAAATTTTTTATATACAATTGTATGTTCACGTAAAAAAGTTATCCATAGAGTACTCAAATCAAATTTATTTTATATCTAATAATCAAGAAGCATATATACAATTCATGATTTTGTAATTTGGTCCAATATGCGGTAATTTAATTTATTTTGCTTTAATTAACCCCTAAACCAGAAAAATATGTTTAACAATAATATACGAACTGAACGATCGCCTCCAACGTTAAGAATTAAACAAGAGGTACAACACATGAAAAATTTAAAACTATCATCTCTAGGGCTGTTTACCATAAACAATCTCAAAATCAAACATATAATTAATTCAAGATTTAATTAGATGTATGTACCGAAAAAAATATTAAAAAAAAAAAGAAATCACTGAGCTAGCCTTAGTATATAGAAAGGTAAAAAAAGAAAAATATACAAACCATTACAAGAATTATTCAAGGTAAAAGTAGTACGAAAAAACCATGAAACTCAGGATGGATAGCGCCATAGAAATCTAATTGTAACCGAATCACACAGATAATCAAACGGTGCTATCCCTCCTGAGCTTAACGGGTTTTCCACACTTGGAAATAAACTACCGAAAATCTTTTTTGTGTATGATATAATTATATATTTATATGTATATATTTGTATATTTAAGTATATATATATTATAATTTATTGTGGAAAATGATGAATTGAGTAGTGAGCGAAGAATGTGAAAACAATGGCATGTATTTATAGTGCCAAACGACGTGGGTATACTGCCAGACAAACGTCACCAAATTTCCTGAGAGAGATTTTTGACTAAAAGAAAATTGTTAAGATTTGTGCTTAATTTTAATTAATTTACTTTTTGTGTTGGTAATTAAGTAATTAATATTGTCAGTGCGTATAAGTATATAAAAACCCTCGTTAAGCTTCCCTGCCGACTAC